ATCTATCCATCCATCCATCCACCCACCAATCTATCTGTCCATCAATCCACCACCCCATCCATCCATCAATTTTATTTTTTATGCATTTCATACTGAGTGGCAGTGGCAGACACGAGTATATTCCACTCCTCTATGCTTCATGCGTATCATTAACTAAGACTCCATTTTTGCTCACAAATCTCTATTTTACGTAAAGTTACATACAGTGAAATGCACAAACCATAAGGGCACCGTTCGCTTTTTGACAAACGCACATTCCTGTGAAATGAAAGCCAAGCCCCCGTCGTAATATAGAACATTCCCCCACCCCAGAAACTTCCCTCATGCCCCATCCCAATTAATTCCTGCCCCCACGTCCCCACCAGAAGCAATTCGACTTTTATTTCCTTTCTACTGTGGGTTTTTTCTGTTACAGAATTTGGTATAAATGGATGCTTATAGCGTGCACTCTTTTTGCATAAGGCTTCTTTCTCCTGGGGAGCTTTTTAAGATCGCCAAGTCCAGGCTGCACCATGGAACAATGACATCAGACTCTTGCGGGGGTGGGGGGTGGGGTGGACTCAGGAGTCAGTATTCCTTTTCTTTGCTGAAATATTTTTTTTAAATTGAAGCATAATTAATACATGGTGTTCTATTAGTTTCAGGTGTACAGGATGGTGATTCAACAATTCGATATATTCAGTGCTCATGAAAATAAGTGCATTCATTTTTTTTTTTAATGTTTATTTTTATTTTTGAGAGAGAGACAGAGACAGAATGCGAGTGGGTTAGGGGCAGAGAGAGAGGGAGACACAAAATCCAAAGCAGGCTCAGGGCTCCGAGCTGTCAGCACAGAGCCCGACGCAGGGCTCGAACCCACAAGCTGCGAGATTATGACCCGAGCCGAAGTCGGACGCTCAACCGACTGAGCCACCCAGGCGCCCCCACAATGAATGCATTCTTAATCTCCTTTAACTATTTCACCCGGAGTGAACATTTGTTTCCCTTTATTCTCCCAGGTGGTTGTACTGTGCAGCCAAGCTTGAAACCCACTCCAATCTCTAGCCATCCTCACTGTAAGCCCTGTATCTCAGCTGCCCCATCCCAGTCATGTTCTCACATTAGAAGTTAGTCTCCCTGGAGATCCGTTCCCTCATAGGTGTTTGTGTCTGTTTTTAGGGGGAGAGACAGATTTTTATATTAGTACACAGGCCATTTAGCATTCTTGCAGAAGTGGTTGCTTTTGGGTGGCTTTGCCAAGGTCGTTGTTCGAACTGAAGGTCACCAGCAGCTCCTTGACTTCTTTCTGCATGACCGAGGGGCCCCCGCGTGCGTCCCCTCGGAACAAAAGCCTCAAAACAATCCCCTCTGGTATAGGAAGCAGTTTGAGGAAGATCTGTTAGTCCGGGCCCTCCCAGTCTTCCGGCTTCCAGAAAGACCGAGGCCGGACCTCAGAAAGTCCCCTCCACCTTCCCATCCTCTGTCTAAAATCATTAAAAAAAAAAAAAAAAAAGCTAGTAAAACAAAGACATGGTTAAACTTGTTGAAACTGATAGTTTTAGGAGACTGAACCAAGGCGGATTGTACCCTTACCGAGAGCCCCATCGAAAGTTTCGTTTGCACTGACCTTTCCTGTCCGTAGCCTCACATCCTAGCTCTTACTTTGGGGGCTCACAGCTATGCTATGTGACGTGGGCTTTGGTCGTCCCGTTCTGTGAGTGGAGAAACTGAGGCAAAGATTGATGTCATCAGCGGTCCATGAAACTATTCAGCGCTTTCTCTGTGATCCCAGAGCTGTCTCTGGACCGCTTTTGAGGAGGTGATAACAAGAATGGCCCTCTCCCTGGAAACATTGACAAGTTCTAAATATCTCATGTTTGGGCAGAGTAGGGGGGGTTCCTAGACCAATCAGAGCCCGGGCAAAGGAGGTATCTCTGCTTCAGAATTGAGTAACGGGCGATTTGTAAGCTGGTGCTCATCGAGCTGTGTGTCCCGCCTACGGGCTCAGCCTTTCCACGCATCGTATTGTTTTACAATCCCAAGAGGCAGTGGATTTTACTGTTCCCATTTTGCGGACAGAAAACTGAGGCTCAGAGAAAGGTGGAAGCTAGCCAGCTCCACCGTGGCCACGTTTGTGGCTGGTGAGGCACATCCACGAGGCCTGAGTTCAGAGCCCCGACTCCACACGACCACCCTGATATTCAGTTACCCGGAGATTCAACCGGGGAGCCCCGAGTTCTCAAACCGAAGTGCCGTAAGGTGGGGGCTCACAGCCACAGAGGGACAGGCGCCTTTGAATTTCTTGGTGCCCCCTCGAGTCCTGCAGCCCCGGTTGTTGAACCAGCGGTGGGAGAGGGGGTCCAACTTCTTAGCGCGCCCGGTTCTCACCGCGCCTTCTGCAGTGTGCTGGTGCGGCATGAACTGAGTCATAAAAATAATGGCAAAGCCCTCTGTGTGCTGAGCTCCGTCCTGCCTGGGCTGAGCTGTCCCCGGTCCCCCCAAGCGTCCACGCACGTGAGATCAGAAGAGCGCCCCTGAGCGTACTAGAGAGTGAATAAATCGCCAAGGCCCTTGTGGGATGGTGGGAATTTTAATCACAGATTAAGGTACCAGCAGAGGAGGGATTTGCTCCGCGGGGACAGGGATTTTGCAATCCCAGTCTTGCCCCAGCAAGCTGCTTCGGTTGTTTGAGAAGGGCTCGCTGGGCTTGGCGGGGGTTGGGGGCGGGGGGGGGGGAGCGACAACACCCCTCCCCCCCAGCACCCAGCACCCCTGCCACCTGCTCCCGTGAAAAGGCCGATTCAGTTGGCTGCAGTGGAAGACCTTCTCGGGGGCGTTCATTAGCTGGCGGCGGGCAGTTTGGCCGCGGATCGCAGTATTCCCTTGTAACGTTTTACAGCCCAGACCCTGCGACAATGGCGTCATTCACTGCACTCGCTCACGTGGAACAGAATGTGAGCGGGGGCCCGAGCCGGGGAGAAGCTGCTCTGCGGGGCGCCGGCACCCAGGGCGAGCGGAGGGGCTGAGGACCCCGGCTTGTGTCGGGCGAGCCCGGACTGAGCACAGCCCGTCCTTGAGGATGTGGCCGCGGCTGGCAGAGAGCAGGGGTGCAGGCGGGGGGTGACCTTCGGTAAACTCAAGGCCGCTCAAACGGTAGGATTGACAGGTTGACCAGTAGAACTTGATGTTGCCCGATGCAGCCCATCTCCAGCTGCTGCCACCAGGATGCCTTATGCAACAGGGCGGCCGTGTTGCCCAGGCTGTTGTTGTGCAGGCAGCAATTCCCTGCGATCGAGTGTAAGTGAGTTGGCAAGAGCTTTGGAATAGCACTGAGCCCGGGAGAAGCTCGGCTTTATCCTCTGCTGTGCCATCTGGGGAAAGTTGCTTGACCTCTCTGAGCCTCAGTTTCTTTACCTCTGAAGTGCATGTAATCCTACCGGTGAGGTGGGCATATCGCCCGGAAGATGAGGGTAAGGCTGGAACAAAACACAACCAAACAAAACCCCCAGCACTTTGTTGCTGCCTTCTTCCTAGATGCACAAGGGCTTTTCACCTTTTACCTTTACCCCCTTTGTGCCCTGGATTCTTTCTTCTTGTTTTTTTAACGTTTATTCGGTTTTTGAGAGACAGAGACAGAGCGTGAGCGGGGGTGGGGCGGGGAGAGAGGGAGACGCAGAATCCGAAGCGGGCTCCAGGCTCCGAGCTGTCGGCCCAGAGCCCGACGCGGGGCTCGAACCCACGAACGGCGAGATCGTGACCTGAGCCGCAGTCGGAGGCTTAACCCAGGCGCCCCAAGCGCGCTGGATTCCTCACTGCTGCTCTCGAGCTGTAGAGGAAGACAGTTTGTCTTCCCCGCTGCAAGGACGTTAGACGCCGTCTTGTTGCTACTGACCGCGTTCCTTTGGTGCATTGGGGAGCCCGGGGAAAATCCCCCCCCCCCAGCCCCGTGTTGGCGGATTGCCGGCGCTTTCCCCCCTTTGTGTCGACCCCGTACCGATGGAGGGGACGCTTCGCTGTTGCACGCTCCTGTTTTGACACCTGTCAGATGGGCTTGGGGACGTTGCACGGCAGGCACCGAGAGGGAGGTGTTCCTGATTGACGGTGGGGATGATGTCTCAAGCGCCTTGCAGAGAAACAAGCTGTGAGGGACAAGCGGCTGTTGGGATAATGTGGCTCTCCCACTTCTGGGCGTGTCAGTAATCAAAAGCAGGGTTTGGCCTTTGCAGAGAGTTGTTTTGCAAGTTGGCAGCACTGGAGGGGAGAATTCCACGGAGTCCATTGATACATTCTCTTGTAAAATCCCTCGGCCAACATTTTTTGGGAGTTGTTTTCTTTAATTAAAAAAAAAAATAACCTTCCCCACTAAGCAGACCCGAACAGAATTGCCAGCAAGAGTTGACAACTTCTGTAATGTTTTATTATTATTCTAATGTTTCTTCTTCTTCTTCTTCTTTCCATTACGTAGCTGGAACCTCAAAGAGAGGACCGTAAAGCTAATTCTATTCCTTTCAGGGCTCTGGCCCCAGGGGGGAGTTCTGAGTGTTGTGGATGCTCAGGACGGCTCCAGCTTGGGTTCTGAGATGGCCCAGAGCACGGGAGAGCTCCGCCAGGGGACCCCCGGGTGTCGTGAGGGTTCTGTGCCCTCATGGAAACTTGGCGGATGCTCTGCGTCCTCTGCCTGGCTACTCTGACGTGCTTTCGCGTGACAAACAAAGTCCGGGGCCAGGGTGGAGATCATTCCAGCCCCCGAGGGGTAGGAGAAGCGGGCGAGGAATCTTGGGCCCCGGTCCCTGCTCTCCTAAAAGTATACTGTGTTCTGAGAATGGCAAGACACCATCAGGAGCCTGCGGAGAAGTCGTTAGGGGACGCCTGGGGTAGAGTCCTGGTGGTGGGTCTTTCTAGCTCTGTGACCAGGGGCGGCAAGTTGCTTCTTCTCCCAGGGCCTTGGTTTCCTAATCTGTAAAGTGGGGACAAAACCAGTCCCTACTTCCTAAGGGTCACAGAAAGGATGGAGAGGGCCAATGCAGCGCACCCTTCAGAATGTGCTAGATGAAGCGCTCTTTGGACGTGACATGATTTCACGTGAGCTCTTTCAAACGTAGATTTATTTTTATTTTTTTAAGTTTTTAAAAAAATTTTAATTGTTTTTATTAAAAAAAATTTTTTTTTTCCCAACGTTTTTTATTTTATTTTTGGGACAGAGAGAGACAGAGCATGAACGGGGGAGGGGCAGAGAGAGAGGGAGACACAGAATCAGAAACAGGCTCCAGTCTCCGAGCCATCAGCCCAGAGCCTGACGCGGGGCTCGAACTCACGGACCGCAAGATCGTGACCTGGCTGAAGTCGGACGCTTAACCGACTGCGCCACCCAGGCGCCCCTAAAAAAATGTTTTTTAACGTTTATTTATTTTTGAGACAGAGAGAGACAGAGCATGAGCAGGGAAGGGGCAGAGAGAGAGGGAGACACAGAATCGGAAGCAGGCTCCAGGCTCTGAGCCATCAGCACAGAGCCCGATGCGGGGCTCGAACTCACGGACTACGAGATCGTGACCTGAGCTGAAGTCGGACGCTTAACTGACTGAGCCACCCAGGCACCCCAAAAATTTATGTATTTTTGAGAGAGAGAGAGAGAGAGAGAGAGAGAGACAGAGCATGAACGGGGGAGGGGCAGAGAGACACAGAATCGGAAGCAGGCTCCAGGCTCCAAGCTGTCAGCAAAGAGCCCGATGTGGGGCTCGAACTCACAGACTGCGAGATTGTGACCTGATTGAAGTCGGCCGCTTAACCGACTGAGCCACCCAGGCGCCCCTCTTTGAGTTCAGTGAGTATTTATTTCAGTTGCTTTACAGTTGCCGTCACTTTGCAGATCTCGTCGCTCAGAGTGAGGCTAAACGCACTCGGCGAAAAACGGATTGAAAAACGTGATTCGTAAAAGAAGAGTTTGGTTCATGGCAAAAATCACAGCTGAGTTTGGGATTTACTGATACGGTTTTCTTCTCGGGAGGCGGTCACAGCCTGTTTGGTGGCATGGGCCTCTCTGGTGGCCTCGTGAAACTGATGTGTCACTTCTCAGAGTAACACGATTCGACGCATCGTAGCAATTGTGTGGATTGCAGAAGAACACCAGTTGTATTAAAATACAGTGATGAGGGGCGCCTGGGTGGCGCAGTCGGTTAAGCGTCCGACTTCAGCCAGGTCACGATCTCGCGGTCCGTGAGTTCGAACCCCGCATCCGGCTCTGTGCTGACAGCTCGGAGCCTGGGGCCTGCTTTGGATTTTGTGTCTCCCCCTCTCTCTGCCCCTCCCCTGCTCATGCTTTGTCTCTCTCTCTCTCAAAAATAAATCAACATTAAAAAATTAACATTATTTATTTATTAAAATTAAAGAAAGAGTTTTATGTATTTATTTATTTTGAGAGACAGAGAGAGCATGAGCAGGGGAGGGGCAGAGAGAGGGAGAGAGAGAACCCCAGGCAGGCTTGTTGCAGTCAGCATGGACCCCTGGTTGGGGCTCGAACTCACGAACCTTGAGATCGTGAGCTGAGCTGAAATCGAGTCCGACGCTTAACTGACTGAGCCGCCCAGGCGCCCCTCAATTCTCCCTTTTATCGTAGAGCCACCCCTCCTCCCGACTCCTCTGCAGACTCTTCTTCTGACACTCCTCACCTACCCGGCTTCCTGTGGGGCTCCCTCTTTCCCGGGGGGAGGTTCCTGGTGAAATTCCCAAGCTCTTATGAGGAAAGGAGTGGGAATTCCTGGTGTGAAAGCTGAAGGCAAGGGAATGTGGCGCGTGCGAGCCGGACGAGTGTGAGAAACCAGATTCTGAGCACCTGGGAGGGTGCTCTTCGTAGGATGTCACTGGATTTTCTTCTACTCAGTTTCCCCGTGTGACGCCTGAGGCTCAGAGGGGCACACAGTCTATAAGTGATGGGGGGGGGGGCTTTCTCTCTCCTTACTCTCTCAAAACGACCACAGTAATGATGACGGCCGTCATTTGTTGAACGCTCGCTCTGTGCCAGCTACTGTTTCGTCTTTCACACGTATGAATTTCTTTTTTTTCCCTCAATGATCCTTTGAACTGGGGATTTTTACTATCCTTGTTTCACAGATGGGACAACCCAGGCACGGAGGAGAAGTTAAATATGATGTCAGTGGTGACCAGTAGAACAGCTCAAAAGGAAATTGTAAGGCACAGATTAGGGTAGCCGGGGATCGTTCCTGACTACTCTAGAGGGTCAACTACCTTTTTCCTAATGTTGACCAAAGACCTGAGCGCCGTTTTAAACATGGAAACCCAGGAGTTAAGTCTAAGTGACCCCGACTACTCAGCTCTTTTAGCTTTTGAATTCGGGAATTCAAAGACATACGCAACAGATTGAAGTATTTCAAGATGCTGTGTGTTCATTGATCAGGAAGAGGGTTCCTCAGCGGTGGAGCTCATTTAACTTTCAGTATACATACAGAACTATATGTAAACCCACTTGCCTAACGTATAAGGCATGAAAAGTTAGTGCCTAAATATATATGTCTGTTTATTTGATGCACTTGAGTACAAGTGGATCGCTTCACTCATCAAAGACGCCTTTGTTTCTTATGCTGTGACACACTTCTGGTGGATTCTCTGATCCCGTGGCTCAGCCAGCGGGGGGCATCTGTATGGGGGGCACTGATCCACAGTATTTCTCACCTTCTCTCTTTCAGTAAAGAATATCCCGTGGTTCCCAGGAGCACAGTAAGACAGAAAGTAGCCTCCAACCACAGTCCTTTCAGCAGTGAGCCTCGAGCTCTGTCCTCCTCGTCCAACTTGGGGTCCCAGTACCAGTGCGAGAATGGTGTATCCGGCCCCTCCCAGGATCTCCTGCCCCCGCCCAACCCATACCCACTGCCCCAGGAGCACGGCCAGATTTATCACTGCACCAAGAGGAAAGGTGAGTGTGATGCTCCCTGCCTGCCCACCTTGCCTTTCTGTTTTTCCTTCCTTTCCTTGGGGGAAGAAAAGTACACACAACTACATTTGCTTATTTAAAAAACGTAAGCAATATAACAACTCACGGAGGTTGTAAGACACTCAAACCACATCTGTAGAACTTGACATGTCTCCTCCAGTTGTGGCCCCTTCCTTGGGGAAAATGTATTTGAAACGTCCAGTCTTATTTGATTCGTTTACACCCGCACGCGCAAGCACTTAAAAAGGGTTTCGTTTTTGCTTCTAACGGCTGATACTATGCCGTCTGAATATCGCAACTTGCATTTCTTAAACTTGAGACTGTGCCGCGGAGGATCTTTTCCCGAGCCTAGAGCTGCCTCGTGCTTTTTAGTTGCCGAAGGGAGAGCGTTGCCCCCAAAGGGCGAAGCCGCGTCTGCTTTTCCACCCCCACTGGCAGACACGGTGGTCTCTTCCAGCATTTTCGTTGCCTCCCGCGAGCCGTGCTGCAGGGAGCTTTCTTACAGTTGGATGTGCTTTGGTTTATGTGCTACGGTTTCTCTTGGGTGGGTGGATTCTGAGCTCCTCTTCTTGCCTTTCTAGACCCAAACCAACACCCAAAAAAGAAAGAAAGGAGAAAAATCACAACGGGTTGTTTTTCTCTCCTTTGCATTTTGTCTTTAAATCTGGTTTGAACTCTTGTCTGAGACGCTGCGTAGTTTTCTTGGCCGAATGAGAAATGGGGACTTTTCCTGAGTCATCTGAGTCTAGGCCTATCATACCGAAGGGAATTTCTGGTGGAGTATTTTTCGAGCCAGAATCAAAGTGGTTGACATGGGGGGTGGGGGGTGGGGTGTGTGGCTGAGTTCAGCTTTACTGGAACCGTTGCTTGTGTGAGTGGCAGACAGGCACGGTGGGGACAGCGTGGGCAACGGGGCTGGAGGACCCAGGCTCGAGTCTCAGCTCTGCCGCCAGCTTCTTGTGTGGCCTTAGCCAGGTGTCCTGGCGTCTCTGTGCCTCAGTTTCTCGCTTTGTAAATGGTGCCGAGTTCCCGAGAGCACCTGATACTCGGTGAGCACCCGGCAGGTGTTGGCTCTGGTTACGGCTGTCGCTCTAGGAAGTGTGTCCGTGGAGGGGGAGGTGGTAAGGCTCCCGTCCCAGTGAAGCTTCGAGAAAGATACGGGACGGAGGGAACTACATACAATTGGGATGAATCCTACCTTTGCCAGTTGCAAATTTTTATGATTAGGGGCAAGTTACTTAACTGTTCTGAGCCTTATTTTTTCTAATCTATAGATTTGGGCTCACGTTTAGACCTATAGGCTTGGTGTGAGGATGTCATGAAATTGGGCTTGTTGTATATATATATATATATATATATATATATATATATTGTTTAAGTTTTATTTTATTTATTTGAGAGAGACAGAGACCGTGCAAGTGGGGGAGGGGCAGAGAGAGAGGGAGACACAGAATCCAAAGCAGGCTCCAGGCTCCGGGCTGTCGGCACAGAGCCCGACGCGGGGCTCGAACTCACGGACTTCGAGATCGTGACCCGAGCCGAAGTCGGACGTTTAACCGACTGAGCCACCCAGGCGTCCCTCGTGCTTGTCATATTTAGCACAAGGTGGACCCAATAAGCAGTCACTGGTTTGCTCCGGCGGGCCCAGTGTGGCCTGGATGTGTCTCTCAGCCTCAGTAGCCAACTCAACGCCTTTGGAATTCCAGTGCCCAGTGTCTGGAACATCTGAAAAAAATATATATATATATATACCAACTCACTAACAACTGATGGAAACAGATGCTTTGGCAGTGTTCTGTGAGCCGAGGTTACTTGAGGAGAGTCGCACGGTTTGACTATTGGACGTGTACCGATCTCGCAGTTTGACGGAGAGAGAGGCCGTCGTTGGTTCAAGCCCGGGGCTGGGGTGCTGATCCGGGTGAGGCTGTTTTCCAGGCTGACCCTGAAGCCCATCCACGCTCCTTGGATCCCGAAGGGTGGAACAATGATACCACCCCAACAGACCCCCTGGCCCGGCTCCCAGCGTGTCCGCTGCTGCGTGGCCTGGAGACCAGATGCGTGCAAAAATGTCTGCCTCTCCAGGCCCCAGCAGGGGTTGAGGATGTCACCTGGGCCACAGGATCCTGCACAGAGATCCTGTCCTGTGTTCCGTGTAAGGGTGCCCCGCCCAGGCTCTCCACCACGACCTTTCAGCAACGCTGCTAGGTAGGTGCGGTTATTCACCCGCTTTACAGGTGGGGAAACTGAGGCCCGGAAAGGTAAACGCACGTGCCAAAGGCTCCCGGGGGGGGGCAGAATTTGAACTCATGCCTGGTCAGCAGTATCAGCTACGATCTCAAAACGCCATCCTCCGCTAGAGACCCGTCTCGAGACCGAGACTGGGTCAGACACACGGATGAAGAGCTCACCGGGTTTGAATTAGGGAGTCGTGTCGATTAAATTAATGCCAGACCAGAAGAAGGGGAGGAAGAAGTTAAAAAGAATCAAGGCACTTCTGTAAGGCTCGATATTTACAGCAGCATCCGTGTCAATGCTTTTTCTCCTGGAGGCGGCGGGGGAGAGTCGGAAGGCTTTGAATGCCGGGGGGAATGGACCCCCTCCCGTGATGGGAGCAGGTGACCCGCACAGGGCACTCGGCGGGTCCTCAGGTGAGCTCAGGGTCAGCTTGAGATGGCCACGGGCGAAGCCAGTGGGGTGGCGACCAGTCTGTGGCAGGAGGTCACAGCAGCTGACGCTCTCCGGCTGCGGGCAAACCCCCCGCTTTCTCAGCCCTAACTCCCTCTTCTGCGAAACGAGGAGTGTGATAACAGCACCTCCCCCGTAGGGTTGCGGTGAGATGGAACGAGATGGTCTAAGGGCTCAGTGCCCGTTAGCTGGCCGCCGCTCTGCGCTTCTGAAGCTCACGGTGGCGAGGGGGTCGGATGTCGTCCCGCGTGGTGACATAACTGATGACCACGGTGGGCTAATGCTGCACAGGAGATCTGCAAAGTGCTGGTGCCTGTGAAGCGGGCGTGGGGGGCGGGGGGGGGGGCCGGGAAACCTCTGCCCTTCTCACCCCCCGCCACCCCCCCAAAAGGGAGCTCCCAGGGACAGCATTCCAGCCAAGCTCTGTCTGTCCTGCGTGCCTCGGAGACGACAAAAAGCAATTCATCATCAGCCTCCATTGTAAGGTGATAAGGAATCAGCCAGGTTTCCTTCCAGTTTGGGAGTCCCGCGAAGTGGTGACTCCATGGGTGGCTTTCCCCGCCCCACCCCCCACCCCCCGCCCCCGGCCCCCCACCCCCGGCCCCCTGCCTGTCCCACTATCTGACTTCCCTTCATTGTCTGTCTCCTTTCCAACGAGCCCAGGAGGCAGGCCCAATGAAATGTCAAAGGGCCAGGCCGGCCGGAGGGCTTCTTGTGTTTGGACCCAGCTGTCTCCCAACTATCTCTCCCGATGGATGGAACCAAAAGCGCTGGGAAGGTCTTTTATCAACGCCACTCAATCAAATCCAGGACCCCGGGGCCTGGGAGAACACTTGTCTGTCTCTTGTTCCCCCTCCCACCCTGACCGCCCCCCCCCCCCCCACCGCCTTCCCACATTTAGATATCAGAGGCAACCCAAATAAAGATTTAAAGCAAAGCCATATACTGCCTTGGCCCTTCAAAGGCAAGTCAGAGGTGGGAGGAAGGGCGGGGAATATAGTTTTGCAGGGTGCATTTTGTCGGCGCTGTGGGCTTTTTCGAGGAATTTCACATCGCTTCCTTCCTTGGACCCGCGCTGTAGCCCCTGAGCGGGGAGGGGGCTCAACATTTTGCAGGGTCAACAGGGGACCAAGAGGTTGGGTTCGCTTCCCAAGGTCACGGGGCTGGTGAGTGGCAGATCGGGGATGCATTCGTCAAAGAAATATCGGTTGAGCTCTTACTGTGTCCGGGCACTGTGCTGAATAGGGGGGATAAGCCGGGGTGGGGGGGCAAGGTGGCCGGGGTCCCTGCTCTCCCGAAACCTGTACTCTCATTGGGGAGACAGATAGTAATCAAGTGGATGAATTTATGATTTTCAGGTGGTGGTTAAGTGAGGGGCAGACTGGGGTCTTTTGGTTCCCAGTTGACGATCTCCCTACAGTACCATTCCAGTCCTTTCCACGTTGGGCTAAGAGCTAACATTACGGGTACACGCACCATTCTTCATCCATCCATCTGTCCATCCATCCGTCCAACCACCCACCCATCTATACCCATCCATCCACCCACCCATCCATCCAGGTCAAGGTTACCACCCTTTCGTATTTTCTGAACACAGCGGGTTTCGTGAAAGCCGAAAGGCTAAGCCCTCTGAAAGAGCACGGTTTTGTGACCCGGAGGGACTGAACTATAGTTCCGCTTCTGACTTGCTAAAGGTCACTCAGCCGAGTGGCTGGTGACCATGGTCTTTTGTCTGAGTGAACCCAGTCAGCGAGGGAAGTGACCTGTTTGGGAATAGTGACAAATGTCCTTAACGGGAATAGCGATTTCAAAGCAGGCCTGTGGGTATTCCGGCTCGAATCCACCCAGACACCCTCCAGCATGGGACAGCCTTCCCAGTAGACCCGTCGTCCCTGGACAGCTAAGATTTGAACACGTGATGGGCAAGGAATATAGAAACCAAAGCACACTTCTTACGTGCATTCCTACAACAAAGTTAAGTATTAGCCTCCTATATAGTCAAAAACGGAAATTGGAATGGTAGAGTGGTTTGCCCAAGGTCACATAGCCGAGGGAGAGTCAGAGACATGACCGCGCCCTAAAATCTGTGATCTGGATTTATCATCAAAGCCACGTGGTCCAGAATCAAAAGCCGCTAGAAAGACTGCAAGGGGCCGGGGATTTTCGCGGGGCAATGAGGTGATGGTGCTCAGCATCCCGTAAGAGCTTTCCCGTAATTCAGGAGACACAGCGGGGTTCAGGACAGGTGGACTACGACTGAGCATTCTTGTTCTTCAACTTCCTGAACCTGAGCTGTTGGACCCGTCTCACGGAAGACTTGATGGCTGACTACAGCGCGTTCCCGGGCCGTGGAAAGTAGGCTTGGCTGGGAAAGAGGTCTTTGCAGTTGACCGGTTGGTTATCAGGCTCCCAAGAAAGAGAAGGAAATCAAGCCGCAACCCAAAAGGACACAGGGATCACATCCAAACCATTTATCGCGACCCACTTGAAATCTGGATCCGTGCTTCGGAATTTCTTGACAATGTGATGAGGTCCAAGAGGAATGTGAGAATGTTCAGGACCCACTTTCGTGAACAAGCCAGCGTTTTGCTTTTCCTTAGGACTCTGCATCAGATCTTTGGGTTATTAAAGACTGGAATGTGTAATTTTACGATTTTCCAAAATGTGCCTCGGCCTTTTTCATATTATTCTTCCTTTTTTTCTACTTGTAACAAATCTGGAAGGGGATCAGAAACTCGGGAATGGTTAGTTTGCCTTGTTTTTTTTTCTCTTGCCAAGGGTACCCTGCAGCTGTACTTTTTATTATTGAAAACGGGAACGCCCTGGTTAAATGGAAAACCCAAAGGTTATGACTCTAGCAACAATGGAAACATTCAGATTTATGGATCCGGCGGCGGGGGTGGGGGTGGGGTTGGAAGGAAGCACGGAGGCACGATGGGACCAAGGGAGGAGGTGGGGAGGACAGAAAAGGTTGCGTGTAACAATGTCTTCAAGATGCCAGAGAGATGCCCCGTGGAAAGGTGAGAAATGTGGCCACCGGCTCATCTGGATGGCTTCGAACATTCGGATGGTTGGCATGATGTAGACGAAGCACCTGGAAGAGCGGCCGCATTTTTTTCCTTTCTTTTGGACACAGGCGTGGGCGTCCTCTGGGGCCCAGATGTGTCCCAGAAAGAGTCTAGCTAACAATTAACGCGCTTGCTGTGAGGCGGGTACGATCCCAGCGTAGATGTGTTTTGATTGGGGAGATTTTTTTTTTTTTTTTTTTTTTTTTTTTTTTACTTACCTGTGAGGGTCACTCCCGAGCTTGATACCAGGGCAAGTGTTTGGTGGAACCTAAACTCAGGCCATCCTATCCGAGTTGGGGAGCTGTTTTAAAATCCAGTGCAAAACCAAAGGACTCCCTGTGGGGTGAATGAGTCACTTGGAGCTTTCTAGCAAGGACCACCCCCCGTGCACAGGCTCACAGGCTGTTAGCCTCCCACCTTCGCTGTTCAGGGTGGGCTGGAGAGGGCCCCCCCCACCCCCACCATGTGCGCTGAGCAGGACCATGACTGTTTATTGACCTCTCTATCCACCCACCGCCTGGCACTTGGTAGGGGCTCAGGACGTCTCTGTTGGATGACTGGGTGAGTGGCCTTGGATATGAGAAATCTGGAGCGCTGGAAGCAAGGTGTGGTTGGCAAAGGAAGCCAGACCTGACCTCGAGTCCAGCCTCTGCCCCTTCCCTGCGTGACCTCGGGAAGGTCACTTCACCAAGCTTCGGTTTCTGCCGCTGAGACAGGCTGGAGCAGCCATCTTGAAGAATTACTGAGAGATTAGGGTAAGGTCACTTAGGAGGTGCTACATAAATAATAACTCGTATCTCCTCCCATTTTGTTCTTCGCCCTCCCCGCCAGGCCGTCGGCCATCACAGTGAGGGGGAGGAATGTTCCAGTATTTATTTCTTCTTCACACCCCGCAACGACAGACTTCTTTCTTTCTTTTCTTTCTTTCTTTCTTTCTTTCCTTTTCTTTTCTTTTCTTTCTTTTTTTAACATTTAATTTTGAGAGAGAGAGAGACAGAACATGAGCAAGGAAGGACAGAGAGAGAGAGGGAGACACAGAATCCGAAACAGGCTCCAGGCTCCGAGCTGTCAGCACAGAGCCCGACGCGGGGCTCGAACCCACGAACCGTGAGGTCACGACCTGAGCCGAAGTCGGACGCTTAGCCGACTGAGCCGCCCAGGCGCCCCACGACAGACAGATTTCTTAACATTTATTGATTTGAAAGAGATTGGAAGATGAGGACGGAAAATCTCCGGGCTGGGGGCTGAAATTCCAGCTAAGGAACGAATGAATCTGTGTTGGGGTTTACACCTTGGTAGAAGTTCTCAAATATTGCCTCCCTAAAGGAAACACCTGGAGGCGTGTTAATCTACATCAGGTCTGCCGAGGGACCAACTGGTGGTGTTACCGTTGCAACAAGAGCTGCTCTTGACGAAAGCTATCGGGAGATTTACATGCTTGATTTTATTTAATTCTTAGCTGCCTGGTGAGGTAAATAGCATTAACTCGGATTCAGAGACGCCAAAAACGAGTCTCCGAGAGGGCAGACGCCCTGCTGGTGTCACACAGGCATTAAGCAGAAGAACGAGATCGAAACTCACATACGTCTCCGCTCCTTAACTCGGGGTCTGGATTTTAGGGGATCCGTGAGCTCCGCAAACTGCACGCGAAGCTGTGCCAGGCACGTGCCGTTTTCCAAACTTTGTATTTCAGTGGGTATTTCCAGGGCACAGCCCCGCACTTTTGTTCCCAAACGAGGCAGTGACCCCAGAGTCACGAAGGGAGACCCTCTTCCAGGGACACAAGTACCTCCACTGCCCTACGCCGGGGACTAGTGTCTGGGGAAAGGAGTGGACTGACGTTACGTTGTACCAGCTCTGCAGATGTTAACTGAGCCTTGCTCACGGAGGCATCGGGAGAGGAGCTGGGGCGGCGTCCGAGCGCCCAGCCGTGTGTGCACGACGTGTCCATCTGTCCTTCCCATCTGTCGCACGGGTATTTTAGCGCATGGCTTTTTGGGTAGCGTAGTACCGCAGGGCAGAGACTTGCAGTAAGCTCCCTTGAATTGCAACCCTCGCTCCCCTGTTGATCAGCCACGCGCGTGAGGCCTCGGGCGAGTTTCCGAACCTCTGTGTGCTTCCTTTTTGCCATCTGCAGCATGAGGATAATCCCAGAACCCACGTCACGGGGTACCTTCCGGAGACAGCTTGGAACAGCACCAGGCAGGGGAAACGCTGCTGGCGTTTGTTTTTACTGTTGTTGTTGACGGTGTTATTACTGTTTTGCGCACGCAGAATGTACCGGAATCTGGGAATATCGTGATGGGTAGGACAGTGTCCCGCCTTCATGGAACATACGTGCCGGAGCGGAGGGAAGGAAAGAGTGATAGTTGTTACTTATTGGGTGTTTTTTTTTTTTTCTTTCTTGTACCAAGCTCTGGACTAAGTTGCTTAATCTGTATTTTTCCGTCTCTTTCTCAACACCTCCCTTCACCATGAAAAGTGGAAAAGTAGAAGCGTGTCGTTACTGTCCTTTCCATGTTATAGATGAAACTGAGCTCAGAAAGGTCAGCCTGTTTGCTCGAGGTCTCTACCCTCTTTATTTTGTTTTATTTTATTTTATTTTATTTTATTTTATTTTATTTTATTTTATTTTATCATTCTTATTTACTTAAAACAATTTACTTAATGTTTATTTATTTTTGAGAGGGAGAGAGAGAGACGGACTCCGAAGCAGGCTCCAGGCTCCGAGCTGTCAGCCCAGAGCCCAATGCGGGGCTCGAACTCATGGACTGTGAGATCGTGACCTGAGCCGAAGTCGGACGCTTAACCGACTGAGCCACCCAGGCGCCTCCCCTCCCTCTTTTCTTTTTTCTTTCCTTTTCTTTTCTTCCTTTCCTTTCCTTTCCTTTCCTTTCCTTTCCTTTCCTTGTCTTTTCTTTTCTTTTCTTTCTTTTCTTTCTTTTTTTTTTTTTTAATCAGAGAGGAGGTTGGAGCTGAGTCTCCCGGACTTGATTCTTCACGCCTTGGGCCCGAGGTCCCCCTCCGCCTTCAGAATGAGGGGTGGCTGGTCCCGGGGCCTCACTGGTCTCTCTCCTCCTGTCTTAGCAGATGAAGAATGTTCTACCACGGACCACCCGTATAAGAAGCCCTACATGGAGACGTCGCCCAGCCCCGAGGACCCTTTCTACCGCTCCGGCTACCCCCAGCAGCAGGCCCTGAGTGCCTCCTACAGGACAGAGTCGGCCCAGCGGCACGCCTGCATGTATGCCAGCTCCGTGCCCCCCAGCGAGCCGGTGCCCAGCCTGGAGGACATCAGCTGCAACACGTGGTCCGGCATGCCTTCCTACAGCAGCTGCACGGTCACCACGGTGCAGCCCATGGACCGGCTGCCCTACCAGCCCTTCTCTCCTCACTTCACCTCGGGGCCCCTGGTCCCCCGGCTGGCTGGCGTGGCCAACCACGGCTCCCCGCAGCTCGCAGAGGGAATGTTCCAGCACCAGCCCTCCGCGGCCCACCAGCCCGCGGTCAGGCAGTGCGGACCTCAGACTGGCCTCCAGTCCCCCGGCGGCCTTCAGCCGTCCGAGTTCCTGTATCCTCACGGCGTGCCGAGGACCCTGTCCCCACATCAGTACCACCCTGTGCACGGGGTTGGCATGGTGCCAGAGTGGAGTGAGAACAGCTAAAGGGAGGGCTGCTTCGTCACAGACGTTGGCCGGGGAGAGAGAGCGAGAGAGAGAGAGAGAGAGAGAGAGAGCGCGGGAGACAGACGGAAGCAGAGAGGACCCCCGCGGGAGGCGTTTCTCCTCCGCAGTGTTCACGTCTGCCCTCGAGAGCCCTGGACGCTGATCCAATCAGTAGCTCGGAACCACAATTCAAAAAAGGTGACTTTGTTGTTTCAACACTTAAAAAAAAAAAAAAAAAAAAAAAAGACAAAAAAAAAAACCAAACCAAAAAAAAACCAAGATGCACCCCACCTGCCACGACCACTCCACGCGTCGGCCGGCCATGTTCACGCCTCCTCCGGGAGTCCTCCGTGATTCCTTCTTTTGGCCTCCAAAGGCCTTTGCCTTATCGAGGGTTTTAGCCTAAAGGTGTGGCTGGAGTCTTTCCTGTCTCAGTGTTAATGTTGACGTTGTTATATAATAAATAATAATATATTTTTTCTTTCAATTTTCTTAATGGGACCCAGTCCCTTATGGGGGGGGGGCGCCCCGCGAGGTCTGAGGCAAGTGTGTTTCCTACATGTACTTGTGGGGGTTCCCCTCACGTACACCACGGCCGGAACCGGAGATTCGCCACCCTGCCCTTGACTAAGAAATTACCTACCTCTGCCACGTGATGTTCTCAAGAAAGTTCCCTACGTCCTGGCCTTTGTCCGACTTTTCCCACCTTGCCGGGCCTCGCGGAGCCCCGCTTGGCCCTTCTTTACCAGCGGGGTCAGCATAGCGTTGCACTCCGTCTGGCCTCCTATCTTACTCAGCCCTCCCGTCGTCCCAGCTCTGTGTCTTTCCAGCCGTCTGTCGCTAAGACGTGGCCTATAGCTTCCCGACCGGAAAGCTTGCTTTGAAAAACTTAAAAAGCCTTGGGTTACACGCGGGCAGAACTGTGATAAGCCAGGAGCAAGCTCTGTGCCGACAAGCGTTGCAAAAAGGCCAAAGCAAATATTCGTCCTGATAAAACACAAAGCCAGCCCCAAGCTTCCAAATGTCCGTCACCGTGGCCGGCGACCCGGCCCGGACGCCACGCGAGGCCCGCCGTTCCTAGAGAAAGGGTGAGACGTGCTCGCCGATTGGTTTTCTCCAAAGCGATCATACCAACGCCAGATGCCGACACCAAACTGTGGTTATTGAAAGCAGAAAACAGTATTAAAAAAAAAAAAAATAAGCGTGTAAGTAAAATGTTATTGCAGGGTTCTTCAGATGTAATATTTTACTGGTACTATTTATTTATAAATAGGAATTCTAATTAAGTAATAACATGAAATGAAATCCAGCATGGGAGCTGGCCAAGAGCTTTTAATTTTATGAATACTCAAAACCAAGTTTGCGTTTTTTTTTTTTTTTCTTTTGAATGTGCTTTGCTTTCTTGATTAAAAAAAATTTTTTTTTTTTAAACTGACCCTAATAAAGAGAACAGGGTAATATGTGAGGCTAAGTATGTCCAAGTATGAGCGAGTGTGTATGTTTGTACGTGAGTGTCTTCATGCGATCACGTCTTTTAATGTTGCTACGGGGGTGGGGTGAGAATTAAGTAACCATTTCGTGTATTTGTGCGCCAATTAATGCCTAATAAATACCATGTGCTTAAAAAAGTATAAGGGACTTGGATCCCCCCTTTTATTTTCCTTGTTCTTTCTGCTGATTGAATAGAGGGGAAGTTAGGTGGAAGAAATAGGAAGAAGTTCTCTTGCAGGTGCGTTTTTCGTCCCGTTTTCTTTGTCCGAGTGTGGTGGAGCTGTGAATATATTTCTCCACTGGCCTGTGTCCCTGGAATGGAGTTAATTGATTTTCACTGAATTCGTGCCGGCATCGGACAAGAAAAACCGTCAGGAATCTCAACTGATCAAAAGATGTATCGGTCGTACCACACAGAACACCCCGTGCTGGAGTTTTCTGAAGGATCTCTTTCTTTGACCTTAGTTGTTGGAAGTGAGTGGTCTGGAGGTCCCGATGCAAGCGACCTTGTGGGCCTTCCACGGATATTTATTTTCAACGCACACATTGAGGATTTGTGAGTTCTTCCTGTAGAATACCTATAAGGCAGAACAGAGCTATAAACTTGTGAGTGAATTCATGGCACGATGTTTAAAAACGTTTATAATTTCCGTGCCTGCGCCTTTCAAATGATCAAGAACCATCAAAGAGATCACATCCCCTTGCAACAGGAACAATTAGATTGTTGATGACAAATTATTCATTTAATCATACTCCCCGCCCCCAACCTTTCCTAGGCAGAGAACTCCCAAGAAGCGTGAATTAATTATACAGAAATGACAATTCAGCTTCTTTTAGGTACAGTGGAGAAACTAGGTCAGTGGCATTCGTGTCCCTGCAGAGAATGAATTAGTGAAGTTTCGCCGAATAAATTCTGATTGTGCTCTAAATAGGTATTTCTTCTGAAGAAAGAAAGAAAGAAAAAAAAAAAGGTTGCGTTTGGAAAAATTAGCTTCCCAAACTAATTCCCCAACTGTACAAGGCAGGCAGTCAGTCTTATTTCTTCCCAAGAAGGTCACAAGAGTACTGAATTAACACCACCACCCCCCTCTCTGGGCACAGCACTCAAATAGTTGCTGGCGTTGGAAAATCACTAAAAACATGTTCAGGGCAAGTTTCATAAATCAGAGAAGGGACATCTCATTCCATAACGGATGCAAGTGAACTGCTTTGGGTTCCAAACAATGGTTACCAAGGATCTTCTCACCGAATTGGTAGGGTTAAGGTTGTCCTATCTAAATATTCGTGTAGTTTTATCATTATGTAGATGTCAGGAGACACGATGTAAATTGCTCCGTTCCTGTAATGTATTTGGTGGATACTTGCTCTGGACTGGACATGTGCATTTGCTGCAATTATTGTTCGCAGTAGTGAACAAGATGATAGGTTGTATCCTTCTGGAACTTCCGGTCTAGTGAGCGAAACAGCCCTTAGGTGATCATCTGCAAAATCAGTGGATTGCAGAGGCAGGACGACCGATGAAGGCAGCATGCGTGAGGTCACAAAAGGGTAAGATGAGGGGTCCTAACTCGGTCTGGAGGAGGTGACTTCTGAGCAGAGCCCTGAACGCCGCGTGGGAATTAACCAGGTAAAAAGTTGGGAGGAGGAGCATTTCAGGCAGAGGAGACTTCTGGCTTGTGCAAAGGTCCTGAGGCAGAAATGGCGATGAAGGAAGGGTGGGATCATGAGTGGGTAGTGATGACCTTCTTTATATTCATTAATTCAACGAGCATTTGCTAAGGTCCCACCCTATGTGGTAGACACCCCTCCTCGTTGAGCGCCTACTCATGGTGGTAGGCTCTTTTCCAGCTAGTTCCCAGAGGACAGTCTCGATCTGTGAGCTGGTGGGGCTTCCTTGTACTTGAGCGAGGAGTGGGACAGCGTCCTCCTGGCTTTCTGGTCCAACACGGGGTATGTGAGCGTGGGACTCAAAGTTCTGGGATCACCGGAAGGATCGCCAGGACTTGCAGAGATTCAGAACGTTAGTATTCTTGAGCTCAGAGAGGTTGGGAACACCCCCCAGCCTCACTGCTCGTGTGTGGCCGAGCTCAGCAGGGACCCTCAGTTTACCCGAGCCTCAGCTGCCTCGTTCACTGAAAGGGGATAAGGGCACCTGCCTCAAAGGACTGTTGTGAACTTTAAGTGGGTGGTATCTATAGAAATGTCCAGTAAAGTACTTACTGTAGTAGGTGCTAAATAAATGCCTGCAAAGACCGACTTCCCTCAATGAAATGCAAGTGAGACGTAACTTTTATTCATTGAGTTAGCAAATGTATGTTTAGCGAACAATGATACCGATTTTCTAATGAGAAGATAAGAAATCCCAGAAACTGTTGGCTGGAATGAACATGGATAAATCTCTTTTTTTAAAGTTAATTAATTTATTTATTTAGAGAGAGAGAGACAGAACCAGTGGGGAAGGGGCAGAGAGACCGAGGAGCTGAAGCAGGCTCAGAGCTGACAGCACAGAGCTGGACGCGGGGCTCGAACTCACAAACCATGAGATCATGACCTGAGCCGAAGTCGGATGCTTAACTGAGCCACCCAGGCACCACCACCCCCCCCAAAATAGATACACCTTTTAAGAGGGGAACTTGGCAAACTATATCAGAAGCCCTAAAATTGTGCCAATCAGTTAATCTGATGATTCCACTTTGAGGAATTTGGTCCTAAGGAAGTAATCGGGAATGTGCATCGTACTTATTTTCTGGGACGTTCATCATGATTTTTTAAAATTCTGCAAAACTGGAGGGGCGCCTGGGTGGCTCAGTAGGTTGAGGTCTGACTTCGGTTCAGGTCATGATCTCACGGTTGGCGAATTCAAGCCCTATATGGGGCTCTCTGCTGTCAGCACAGAGCCCGCTTCGGATCCTCTGTCCCCTTCTCTGCCCCTCCTCCGCTGGCTCTCTCTCTCTCTCTCTCTCTCTCTCTCAAAAGGAAATAAATAAATAAAAAAAAAATCCTGCAAAACTGGAGACAGCCTTATTATCCACTAATATAGTCAGTGCGGGTTAAATAAATTAGCGTACGTCTACACAATGGAATACCACATGGCTTATTTTAAAAAAACACATTTGTCGGGGCGCCTGGGTGGCTCAGTCGGTTGAGCGTCCCGCTTTGGCTCAGGTCATGATCTCACGGTTTATGAGTTCGAGCCCCGCGTCGGGCTCGGTGCTCACAGCTCGGAGCCTGGAGCCTGCTTCGGATTCTGTGTCTCCCTCTCTCTGCCCCAAGGGGTATTTAAGATACATCGGAAGTCAAAGACGCTGACGACAACTGCCATGCCCAGCGGCTTCTCGGTCGTCTTGAATGCAACGGCCTTCATTCAAGCATAGAGGGGAACGGAAACCACTGTTCGTGTGCACGACACAGGATTGTGAGTGCCTACGTTTTCTTTGTGTTTTCGGATACGTCTCCGTTCTCCTGTGTGACGAAGACGAATTATCTTTGCAACTGGGAACAGAACTAGTGAAATAAAATCTAGTTTCTTTGGGGGCGCATTGTCCAATCAAGTTTGTGAGGAAGGCGGGGCACCTGGTGTCTGTGTGCTTCGAGGGCGAAGGGGCTGGAGATCCGTCGAGGAGTGCCCTTGGCCCGGTCGGTGACAGAGCTGGACGCCGGTCCCAGTCGGCCGACTGCTAGTCACGGAACATTCTACCTCCGAGACAAGGAGACACCTGGGTGCTTCTCTGTTGCCGCTTTCTGGGGTTGGCCCTTGCTGGCTTGTTCCTCTTGGTGGGGTAGGATGTTGTCTGGTCCGAATTATTATTCGCTTGTTAACAAATACAGCACACACATGCACACGCGCACACACACGCACACAATATACACATATACAAACACGTGCGCGACATATACATACGAACACACACAGGCCGTTGTGAGAATCGCACCTTTGTTCCCTACCTGACCTGGCTCATAAAAGTCACCTTGCCGCTTACTGCTTCCGTGACCTTGCGCAAGTCACTTAACCTCTTTGACCCTCCATTTAATCATCTGCGGCACGAGGATAAGGGTACGTTCCCCCCCCCCCCCCCCCCCCCCGGGACGTTCGAGCCAGCGTTCAGTGGGACAGTGGGTATCGAGGGTGCTGGGCACAGAGCCCCGTGTAAGGCAATGGCTGTCAGCTGATAAAAAGATGAATTAGTATTGATTATCCTCATTGCTATTAGCCCCTCTCCTCCCCGTCCTCCCCTCCCCCTCCCACCCCCTCCCCCTTCTTCGCTTGGGAAATTCGCCCCTTGCGATGTGCTACGAGTTTTACAGCGCACCTCAGCTCCGTGAAGGTTGGGAAAACGTCACCATCCTCGCCATCGCCACTGTCGTCACTTCGGACGAGATTTCAAACACAGGTCTTCCATCCAGGCCCCACCTCAACCCCGGGTCCCCTGCGGCAACCACGAGCGACCAGAAATCTCTACGCCCCAAAAGGCCGGCAACCCCACGCCTTCTCTCTTCTGACCTCAGAACTGCATTCTTCTGCCTGTTAATGAAGGAGAGAGAAACCCCATCAAGAGACTGGGGTGCCCCCTCCAAAAAAGGAGTAATGGAGGCAAGGAGGTCGAAAAAAACCGAATACCCATCACACGAGGAATCCAGCACAAATAGGGTTTTGCCCAAGTGTTCATCCCACTACACAGCCCCGTGGCCTTGAGCAAGCCTCCTCGCCTTCCTGGTCTCGCCCACACAGACCGCTGCTCCCAAGTGCTGGTGTCAGGGGCTGCTTTGAGGGAGCCCTAGAGTAAGAGAGTAAAGCTGCTCATCCAACAGCTCCCCAGCCCCTCAGACAAGGGGTAGGAGTGCTTGACCCGAGAAAGGCTCCCTGTCTCTGCTTCTGTCTCTCCCAGCGTCGGAATCTGGAGTAGAGAAATAAACGGACTGACGTTGCTCGTGCTCACTCGCTCACTCTGGTCCCTAACCAAACTCTCTTCGAGTTCCTTCCACCTAGATCCCCAAGATTGTCCCTTTCTTATAATTGTGGTTCTCCAATCTTCCCTTCACCTCTGTGAGTTCCCTTTCAGAGCCGTCACCCACACTTGTATAGGTTGAACGTGGCACAACCCTCGGAAGGCAACTTTCACAGGGGTAGTCTACCTGAGTG